CAGCTCTGTGGCAAAAAAAAAAAAACAATAATAAAAAGAGGCTTGTGTGCATGTTTTACCAACATTGGATGACATTACTGAAATTAACTCAGGTGGGTCAGGACATACCGTGATTACATCCCCTCTCCGTCTCATCTCTGAATTGGTTACTATGGTGATGGCCTCCCCCCATAGCCTCTCATCAGATCATTATTTTCTCTCTGGGCTCAGCGGTGCGAACCGGCGTCCAGCCCTTTCCATGTCGCCAAACTGGCCTAATCAAAGGCTTGGCCGTGGATTTGGTCTCCCCAGGCACGCGCTTACACCAACAGAATCCCAGTTATTGTCTGAGCTCTGTGTTTTCACAGTGGTATTAGCTGTTCTCTTAATCATAGACATATTTGGGAACAAACAACACCTGTTAGGCTTCCAGCTCTTAATTCCGACGTGGCTTTTGTGGGTTTCCAGAGCATTTTTTAAAAATATTACAGACCACTCAAATTAAACGCTGCCACCAAATATACACATTAAACAAGATTATTTGGAGAGGGGCTTACATTTTTAGAGCTCGAACCCAAATATATTCTGTTGTGGAACCAGAATTACTGGTAAATGGTCTGCACTTTTATACCCAAAGTGCACACACAGAGCTGCCATGCAAGGCGCTATCCGCCATTGGAAGCAGCTTCGGGTTCAGTGTCTTGCCCAAGGACACTTCGACTGAGGAGGGGCGGGGGATTGAACCACCAACCTTGCAATTGGAGGACAACCTGCTCTTCCACCTGAGTCACAGCCTGACGAACTAGTCAAGTTGCAGTTGACACCAATTTCTCCGTCTGTTGCTGAGTTACGGCGCTCAAAAATCAACAGAAAAGTACATTAAAGTTAACCTTTGACCTTCTAGATATAAAGGAATCACTTTATCATTTTATCCTAACAATAATTTGAGTGAAATTTGACCTCTGACAAGCAACACGTTCATCAATGAGTCCAAGTGAACACCCTCTGTACGTTGGAGACAAGGCAAAAACAAAATAAAACGGTATCATTGAGAAGCTTCTAGTGTTTTTCAAACTTGTCATTTGGGGAAAATTACAGGCTACAAGCCAGAAAAGTGACGTTTCTTTTATTTATTATCATCTTTGTCCTCCTTGTGTAAAGTTGCACATCATTCTGAGTTCAATTATCCCCCAATCCATGACTGTATAACACCCTGTAAATCTTTTTTTTCATCCCATTAGCACTCAGGTGCTTCCTGCAAAAATATATAGGAATATTTGTGAGGAATTTTATATAGAAAATGTCGAGCCAACTGCACTAACGCCTGTTGGCCATACTGATAACAGGTAAGGTCACAAGCTAATGTAATAACAAGCTGCTGGTGAGTCACCTCTGACTAACACCAGCCTCACATCACAGACTGACAGGACAAGCTGTTTCACAAGGCCAAACATCAGAGTCATTAATTGAGACCTTTTGGGGATTAAAACAATAATATGATCTGCCTAGAAGATGTGCTCGCTGTCTGTCTGTCTGTGCACCCAGTAGTCTGAACATAATGCTACATGACACTGATACCGGATTGTTCATGTAGATAAAGGCTCACTCTTTCTGAATTACATAAAGTTCCTTCAGCTTTTGAGACATCAAAATGCGACAGAGCGGTTTGTCTTAACCAAAGAAATCCTCTTAGACTGACAGGACAGACATGGGCAGCCAGCAAACAACATAAATGCAATAAACAAGCAATAATGTAGAAAAAAATGATAAACCATCCACCCTAAACATCCCTTCAAATCACATCCATTAAGTTATCTTTCATGAGACCTGTAGCTGAAGAAGTGTGAGAATGTCATTAAAAAAATCCCCAAAAGATTGTTTTTCTTGTCAGAAGTTGAAGGTTGCTGACATGCAAGTGACAGCTGGTGCTTCTGCTGCTGTGCAAAGACACATGCAGCACACGGTCTGATGCCCGGAAATGCAAAAACAAGTGTTTTCCCTGTGCTACTGAAGAACGAGAGCGGAGAGTGAGCCTAAATCAACCACAGAGCATTTGCACTTGTCTGATTTTGAAGCGACATGACAGAAGAGTAATTGAATTTCTGATACTTCCACCAAAATAAACAGCCCACAGCCACCGAGATGCAGAACACGAGTCCGGAAAATACCAAGATACATGTAGGGAGAAAGTGAATCGCATCCAGTTGTCAAACTTTAAAGGTTACAGGTAGCAGGAAGATAAAGGCACAGTGCACCTGATTCCCATTGTTAAGACTTTCCCCAAAACCCACTGCTGGAAGTATCCAATAGCATCTGTATCAGTCAAAGAGTTCATAGCATAGTGTGTGTGTGTTTGCATAAATTATAAGTGTGTGCATCAGGAAAGCAAATAGATGCATGTGACGTCTCTGCATGTGCGTGCAGTGCAGGGGGTGGTTTGTCGCGTATACCATCACTTTGCTAATACAATAAGGAGACAGCACAGTGAGTACAACAACAATAGACTTCTTGGAAGAACACAGGACATCGGGTCATCGTGTCCAGCTTTGTCTTTGCAAAAAAGAAACCAGGAACAGATTCAGTGAAACTAAGACAGGATTTGTTTTAACCCCGTAGAGACACCTGAACAAAACAAATGGAACCGCAAAGGGTGGAACTGGATATTTTCCTGTTCTACCAAGTAGTGATCAGTTGTTGTAAAAAGGATGAATTATTAGCACTGTTATGCACATAAATACTGAACAACTATAAAACCTACAACGCTTACAAGTTGTGCTCATGCACCTAAGTTTTAAAAGAATTGTTCTTATGCCCCCATTTCGTTTTCTTAAAAATAAAAAGAGAACATTCTGGGGAAAATGGGGGTAAACAACCATTAAAAACAACTTTAATGTGATGGTTCCTTGATTTAAAAAAAGAATAATAATAATTCTCATGAATCTGTGACTTTAAATTCAGATAATTTAGTTTTTTTTCTTGTAATTTAATTGCTTTATGTTGTCAGAGGACATTTCAGGGTTTTTTTGTGGTAATTTGTGTTTTTTTAACTCATTATTTTTACTTTATAAGTGCGATCAAATAATTCCAGGACTGCACCTATGAAAATCAAAACCTATACCTGCCTTACATATGGCGGCCATCTGTTTTAAAGCAGTCTCCTTGAGCAGCAAAGCATCGATTCCAGCGCTGCTGTCACGCTTGGAGCAGCCTCTGGAAGTCCTGTTATGTAAGCACGTCAAACACCATCTGGGACGGGTGCTGAATCTCCTCCACTGTGTCAAAACAACCAGACTTCTGGTTGAATTTCACTTTAAGGAAGAGGAAGAAGTTGCAGGGGACCAAATCTCAGGCAGGTGAGGGCAACAATTTTATGCTTGCGGCCAGAAAAACCCAGTGTG